TTTCCACGAGATTTAGCGGGGAAACTATTCTGCTAGATTTAGCGGGAAAAATTTTTCGCTAGATTTAGCGGAGAAAATTTTCCGCTAAACTTAGAGGGGAATCTTTTCCGCTAGATTTAGCGGGAAAATTTGCCGCTCAATTTAGTGAGGAAATATTCCCCCTAAATTTAGCCGGAAAAATCTTCCGCTAGATTTAGCGGGAAAAAATTTCCGCTAAACATAGCGGGAAAACTTTCTTGCTAGATTTAGCGGGGAAATTTTTTCTACTAAATTTAGCGAGGAAATATTCCCGCTAAATTTAGGGGGAAAATTTTTCTGCTAGATTGAGCGGAAATGTTTTTCCGCTAAAATTAGCGGAGTAAATTTTACGCTAGATTTAGCGCGGAAAATTTTCCGCTAGACTTAGCGGGGCAACATTTCCACTGAATCTAGCTGAGAAAATTTTCCGCTAGATTCAGCGGGGAAAATTTTCCGCTAAATATAGCAGAAAAAATTTTCCGCTAAATTTAGCGGGAAAATGTTCCGCTAGATAAAGCGGCGAAAATTTTCCGCTAGACAGCGGGGCGAATTTTGCGGTAAATCTAGCTGGGAAGATTTTCCGCTAGATTTAGCGGGAGAAATTTTCCGCTACGTATAGCGGGGAATTTTTTTCGTTAGATTTAGCGGGAAAAATTTTCCGCTCAATTTTGCGGGGAAAACTTTCCGCTAGATTTAGCGGGGAAAATTTTCCGCTAGACTTAGCGCGGCAAACTTTCCGCTTAATTTAGCTAGTAAAATTTTCTGATAAATTTAGCTGGGAAAATTTTCCGCAAGATTTAGCGGGAAATTTTTCCGCTAAATTTAGTGGAGGAATTTACCCATCATGCACCGCGCGGTTTCGCCGACGGCGACGCCGATGCCGACGCCGCTCAAGTCGGGAAGGGGTGCCTAAAAGCTGTGCTCTAAAAAGAGTAACCATATCAATTAAGCCTCGTCAATAGTAGGAGTAGTAACTCAAAGTAATCACATTAGTGATCAAATTATCGATTGCCCGCCAAAAATTCTAATTGTATAAACAATTGTTCTAAGTTACCAAATGTGTAAGCGAAACACGATGACTGAACACAATAAGTGCATATATATATATATATGGATTCAACTGACTGAACCCGGGATTAGATTGTGTGGCGCTTGGATTAAATTGTATGGCGCTTGGATTAAATTGAGTGACCCCGGGATTAAATTGGTCGTCGCTTGGATTAAAATGAGCGGGAAAACCTGTAGATTCCGCTCCCCTGCCTGATCCGTATTTCATTTCGACGAGCCTCCTTAGCGCACAGTAAGTGAAAGTTGCCTTCTTCGGACCCCGTACAGACTTTCCGAGGCCTACTCATGCGGCGTGCAAGTTCGTTTATGGGGGAGATGAGTTGCCGGTTTATATGGCCGTGCGCGTGCGCCTGCACGAAAGGATGCCGACTACCGTGCTGGCGGCGGTGGCGGGCGCAGAAGGGAGTCCCAGGAGCGGTGGCTGGGAGCGATCACGTGGTTGAAGACGTCGGTGATGACATTACGGACATTTTGCGTGGCAGACGATCACACAATTTCCCAAGGTGGTTTCCACTAACGGCTGTCGCTGTAAAATACTCCGAAAGCTGGAAGACTCCATCAGCAATTAAAACAACTCGCCAGCAAGATAGAGAACAATATGTTATTTATTGGTGCTAAGTGTAATCACCTCAGACATGTACGTAACGCGTTAGTGGTAACGAGTTACTTCTACGTATAGTCACTTTTTTCCATAACGAGCAACGTACTTAGTTATTTCTCTAGGAAACGAACGAGTAACTTACTTAGTTACATTTAAGGCCAAGTAGCGAGTAACGGTATTTTGTTACTTCTGAAGAGTAACGTGTAGAACAACGTTTAAACAGCCTTTTTTAGTTCTAACCTGAGTACGCTTATATTGCGACAAAAACCGATGAGAAACCAGAAAAACAACTAAACAGGATGACAGTATAGCAACCTTTATCGCTGAACATGTCAGTCGAACTCAACAGCTGGGAATGTCCTTCAACCAGCCAACACAATGAGTTCTTTGGTTGAACCAGGGACGGATCCAGAACTCTGTTTTTTGTTTGTTTGTTTGTTCTTTTGGGGGGGAGGGGAAGGGGGTGGAAAGGGGAGGAATTTGTGTGTGTGTGTGTGGGGGTGGGGGGGCACCTACAGTAAGATAAACAGGACCCCGGTTGCGCCTTTTGTTTAGGCCGCCGCAGAACCACACAGCGCCGACGGCCCCTAGATGTGCGCTGTTGCGCCGACTTAATGGCTCCAAGGCGTGCTTTGAAACCTACGCCGCGGACATCATGCCGTCTCAGTTGAAGCGACGTAGTGGTTCTCCAAGTTCAAAGTACAAGAGTGTCTGCTGGTGCGACCTGCCCTATTTTGGACCCTCGTCTTTGAGTACCGAGCCTTCTGCCACCTGTCAGGCCGGTAGTCGGTTTTATTTTTTTTTAGTGGGGGTCGACTTTGTTTGGGGGGGGGGGGGAGGGGGCGGCCGCCCCCGTCGCCCCCCCCCCCCCCCCCCCCGGGATCCGCCCTTGGGTTGAACCTTCCAGAACCATGCACACACCGAATGTAAACCCGGAGGTTGCCAACATGGAAAGGCACAGAGCTCATCGTAAACTTCGAACTTCAGAAGCGGAGAGAACGAAAAGGAGAGAACAATAATAAGGTGGAGAACTGGGCCAGTTGGTTGACGTTATACATGATTGGAAAAACAGTTCAGAAAACACGGACTACGAAGAGGAACAAACACGACAGGACAATGCTGTACTCGCAACTGAAGAATTTTAATAAAGGAAACAAGACAGAAAAACCATACACAGTATCTTAAAAGATTGCACAAAAACAAAGAACCACTCTCGCCAACCGTGAACCGTGTCAATAAACTACCCGTTCACTACGTGACTCATGTTTTGCCAAGGGAAGGAAATTTGTTTGGCTGACAGCGCCAATGACGGTTCACTAACACACGAATGACCATGACACAGAATGTGGAAAGCCTCAATTATCTCTCTCGTCACCCTATCCTTGTGCGCTCCCAGAACGGTGACTCTGCCAAAGTCCAGGCCGACACTGGCAATCTCTGCGATGAACGGGCAAAAGCCCCCCAACCGTGGCTCCGAGCGATTGTGAGCGCTCACGTAATCTATCATTCAGACATCTTCCTGTTTTCTCCACGTAGCACCTGTTACACGACAAAGGTATTTTATGTACCACACACGAAACACAAGGGACAAAAGGTTTTCTGTGCTCCTTGGTGCACTTCGCGCTGGAACGACCAACTACCCCCGCACTAATCCTGGAACATATGTGGCCTATTTTTTGGGGTGCCGAAAACACTACCGCAATTCCATATCTGCCACCAACATGTTTCAGGTTATGGGAAACGCGGCGGAGGTAGGGGACCAGTACCACACGCTTCTTTTCTCTTTCCGGCCTCGACCTCTACACCCCCTTAGCTTTCTTAAGAAGTGAACTTGCTACTTCCGCCAAGAGTGTCGACGGGAACGCCAAGAGCGTCGACGGGAAGCTAAGGGGTGGAGAGGTCGAGGCCGGAAAGAGAAAAGAAGCGTGTGGTAGTGGTCCCCTATACCTCCACCACGTTTTCCATAACCTGAAACAAGTTGGTGGCAGATATGGAATTCCGGTAGTGTTTTCGGCGCCCCAAAAAATAGGCCACATATGTCCCAGGATTAGTGCGGGGGTAGTTGGTCGTTCCAGCGCGAAGTGCCCTAAGGCGCACAGAAAACCTTTTGTCTTTCGTGCTTCGTGTGTGGTATATAAAATACCTTTGTCGTGTAACAGGTGCTACGTGGGGCAAACAGGAAGATGTCTGAATGATAGATTACGTGAGCGCTCATATTCGCTCGGAGCCACGGTTGGGGGGCTTTTGCCCGTTCATCGCAGAGATTGCCAGTGTCGGCCTGACTTTGGCAGAGTCACCGTTCTGGGAGCGCACAAGGATAGGGTGACGAGAGAGATAATAGAGGCCTTCCACATTCTGTGTCATGGTCATTCGTGTGTTAGTGAACCGTCATTGGCGCTGTCAGCCAAAGAAATTTCCTTCCCGCGGCAAAACATGAGTCACGTAGTGAACGGGTATTTTATTGACACGGTTCACGATTGGCGAGAGTGGTTCTTTGTTTTTGTGCAATCTTTTAAGATACTGTGTATGGTTTTTCTGTCTTTGTTTCCTTTATTAAAATTCTTCAGTTGCGAGTACAGCATTGTCCTGTCGTGTTTGTTCCTCTTCGTAGTCCGTGTTTTCTGAGCTGTTTTCCCCATCATGTATAGGCGAGAACAATCCCAGATTCACAAGCTCTTCCTGAAGCGCAACACTCCCGTTCCTTTGAGTGCGTCAGTAGAACGACTGTTGAGCTTCGCCAGTAATTTACTCTCAGGAAAACGGGGAAACATAGCGGATGGAAACTTCGAGAGGCAGCCACTGCTTAAATGCAACGATTACTGAAAAGACAACAAGAAGCCACGAAACAAAAGGTGTTGTGTATTCGGTCGTCGAAGGAACGAGAAAAGTAACTCGCTACTTTCGAGGTAAAGTAATGCGTTCCTTTTGAGAATCGGTAACGAGTAACGTATGTTGTTACTTTTTCAGCGAGTAACAAGTAACCGCATTACGTTACTTTTTATGGTAACGTGTAAATGTCTGAATCACCTATGCAAATGTCGCATGCGTCCACAAATGTTGCCATTCTTTTGATGATGCAGGATTTGGGTGGACGTCTGCTTATAAAAAAATGTCGTCTTTTTTTTTAAGGCAAGTAACGCAATGTTCTCAAATAATTTCGCATTCTAATACAACCACTTGCGTCAAATTCTCAAAGTTGTAGCTTTCTGCGATGCGTGGTTTATATACGCAAGCGGAAAAACACGTTTTGTTTTCTTTCTTTTTTTTTTTCTTTTTGGAAAGACCCGTCATACGTGATCAATATAACGCGTACCTTGTTGACGTTGCAGACGGTTACGGCCGGAAATCCGGCCCGTGCTGGCTCGGTGTAGGTAATTGATACGACGTCTTCGTAGCGCAGGAACTCGACGAAGATGTAGGAAAGGTCCATAACCATGAGGCAGGCCAAGGCTCCGAACGCGAGTAGCCAGCAGGCACGCCGCCACGGGTTCTGGCGTGCGTCGGCGATGACGCGAAGGCCCGGCACGCCGGACATCCGCAGGGCACTCCTGCGTCAGAGGCGTGGTATATTTATGTCTGCCATCCCCAATCGCGCATCAAAGAAAAAAATTAAAGTTGTCGCCATTAGTCTGATAAACTCGGGGAGCAAAAAAATTGCCATGCGCGTGTCTCGTGCGTGCATTCAGATTTGTTACGCTTGGTTACAAAACCTGTAACGTCTGCGATCACGTGGAAAGCTAGGCTTTGTCATTCAGGGACCTGCTGAGCGCGCCAACAGTCAACTGCTACCACAAACTCATGTGATTCACACTTAATGATTCCGAAAAAAAAATTAAAACTCTCTTGATAGTTTTAATAAGCTCGGGGAGCACAGAATGTGTCATGCGTGCATGATGCCTGCATTATAATTTTTTATGTTTGATTACGGGAAGATTTGGGTGGCTTCTGGTGCGTTGCACGCACGACGCCCTCGTATGCTCCCCGGACTTTTCATAGTAATCAAGACAGGTAGTTTCAATCTATCCAGATCCCGCGACGTCGTGAGATCACGTGGAGAGCTATCCTTCGTCATTCGGTAGCCAGCAGTGCCAGCCAATGGTCGACTTCGGTAGCAGTCGACCGTCGTACTTAGTCCAGCTGCTACTGTTCCCGTTCGCATCATTCTCGTGACGCCAAGCCCAGGCGTCGGACTGCGGATCGCACGGTCTGGAGTTCAATCCCCGCGGCGCGCCCGCTTAATCCATGCCGCCTATTATGCTTCATGTTTTGTGTGTTGCAGGTGCTCGTGCCATGACGTGCAGCGTGCTTGTGACACTGTCGCGTAAAGTGACTGCCTACCCGAGCGATAGGATGCAGCCGTGTTCCACCAGGAGCGATTTCTGTAGCTCGTTTTTCTGACAGAACACATTCATTGCCGACGTGGATGGGATTCTCGCAAAGGATTTTTGCTGCCATGGGGTCGACTGGATGGATTATCCTCCGACTGCTGTGGGCTTGGCCTGAGCCAAGAATTGTCCAGCATCGGAATCCTGGAGCGGCCATTAAGCGGCAACCCCTCAGCGAGGACCATGAGTCGCATCGGGGACATCGAGTCTTTCAATAATACGACGAGCGACTGGCGCTCCTACGAAGAAAGACTGGCGTCGTACCTCCTGGTAAACGATGTTCCCGAAGGTAAGAAGGTTCATACCTTCTTGGGTCTCATCGGTATGAAGACGTACGCTTTGTTGAAGTCACTCACGGTCCCGCAGTCACCGTCCGAAAAGTTGTTTATCGCGCTACTGGAGCTTCTGGGCGAACATCTTGCGTCGCAGTCATCCGTCATAGCGGAAAGGGGCGAAGTTTTGCAAGCGGTCGCAAGAAGAAAGCGAATTAATCGCCAAATTTGTGGCGGTACTTTGAGACCTAGCACAGAGCTACGATTTTGGAGGTTTTCTTGACGAAGCGCTCAGCGACCGTTCCGTGTGCGACCTTCGCCGAGAAGATGTATAGCGCGTCCTCTTCGGAAAAAATGGCTGACTTTCCAGAAGTTGGTCGGAAGGGCTCTTGCGATGGAAATAGCAACTAGAAATGCAGCGTTAACGCACACCAGCGGTGTCGGGTCCCGACGTCCTCAAGGTTCGGGTCGACCACAATGCCCGGATCGACAAGCAGTACCAGAGCAGTCCAATTGTTTCCCATGTGGCTTGACCAATCATCGCAGTGATGCGTGCCCCCACGTAGGCAACACATATTTCAAGTGCAACCGGAAAGGGCACATTTCGGGCGCCTGCCGTTCGGGTAACATGAAGCCGACAAAATCGAAACGACAAAGGCAGCTGGAAAAACTGACTTCCGTTCACGATGCGGTATCTTTGCGAGCGGTCAAGGCTGCGGGCTGATAACCGATCACCGTAGCAGTAAACTTTGACCGCGTGAAGCTACAATGGAACTCGACACAGGCGGAGCTGTGTCCGTTGTCCCCTTGATTGAATTTTGGAAGCTGTTTCCCAGAAAGCAGCTGAAGCTAGATACGCTGACACTTCGCACGTATACAGGAGACTTTGTGAAGCCGAAGGGTCTAGCCTTGGCCTTTGTGCAGCACTAAGACCGAAGTAGGGAGCTCCCACTGTACGTCGTGGAAACCGAGGGACCGGCATTGCTTGGTAGACAATGGCTGCGAGAAATTCGGCTATCCTGGAAGAACTTGGTCTCAGTGAACTGACTCGACACGTCGGAGAGTTGCAAATAGAAGTTGGTAGCCTTTTTGGAGAGCCACAGCAACCTGTTCAAAAATGAGCTCGGCACCATTTCTGGGGAACAAGCCGAACTTTTTTCTGTCAAGGTTCACAGCCGAAGTTTCTGAAGGCTAGAAGCATTCCATTTATACTGCAAGCCGCAGTCAATACAGAATTGCCAAAAATGGCAAAGTTCGGAGTCATCATGCCCGTGGCTACCAGCGAGTATGCGACACTCCTTGTGCCTGTAGTAAAGAGCATGGCAGTATTCGCCTCTGCGGAGATTTCAAGGCTACGTTAAATCCCTGCCTCGAGGTGGACAGGTAGCCCCTACCACGTATTGATAAGCTTTTGGCGGCCGTAGCTGCTGGAGAATAACTCTCGAAGATCGACCTAGCAGGGCTTACCCACAAGTGGTTATGGCGGACAACTTAAACAAGTTACTAACACTGAACACGCAAAAAAGGGCTGTGTGCCATTAATCGCCTGACCTTTGGCATCTCATCAGCACCAGGCAGTTTTCAGAAAATAAGGAATAATTTGTTCAAGGGCCTGGAGGGAGTCAGCTGCCATCTCGATGACATCCTGATTACAGGAAAGTCTAAGCAGAAACGCCTCAGCAATCTCGAAGCTGTCTTGTCGAGATTACTAAAACGTGGTGCACGAGTGCAGCGTGAAAAGTGTTCGTGTTGCCAGAACAAACCACGTTACCTAGGCCACGTCACCAACGCCGAAGGTGCTTGCGCATCCCCTGAGAAAGTGTCGGCCAGAAAACAAGCAGTAACTGCAGTCATCCCTTGGGATGGTGAACTACTACGGAAAGTTCGTTCCGCATCTTTCCACGCTGACATACCCCGTATACAAGCTGCTGATACAAAAGAGAGGAATGAACGTGGAACAAAGTTTGCCAGTTCGTCTTTTAGAAGATCAAAGCTGCGATGAGTACTCTACCGATCTTAGTTCATTACGACCTAAAGAGGCCCTTGCAGCTCGCCTGCGACGCATCGCAATATGGCATAGGCACCGCTTTTTCGCAAGTTTCGCGGGACGGAAAAGTTCTGCCGTATATTGTGTGCGTGTTCGCCACGCATAGCGAACACGACCTTTGGCCCAAGCAACGGCGGGCTGATGTAACCGGAGACACGGCGGGGGGCGGCGAGCCACGGAGAAGAACGTGACGCCTGCGCGAAAGAGCAGACTGGGCGCGATCGCAGACCGAACAAGACGCTTTTCAACCGAATGTAATCTAACAGTTAAACAAATATATCCTTCATTTTCCCAAATTACCGGTACATCATAATGGCGACGAGGATGGGATCCATGCAACAAAAAACGGATATAAACAACTGAGCGACATCGGAACAAAGGAAACAGCGTTAACGTGAGTGACGCCCCATCTCAAACCTAAAGAATGGCTCGCTTCGGGAAAATTGAAGAGTTTGATCAGAAATCAGAATCATGGTCTTTGTACATCCAACGATAGAGGTGTTCTCCTCTGCGAACGACATTCCTGAATCAAAGCGAGCCGATGTTTTTCTCTCCATCGTCGGACGAGAAATGTACGGACTAATACGGAACTTGGCGGCACCTGCCAAACCAAGCACCAAGACGTGCGTACAGATCGTTCAACTAGTGCTGAACCACGTCGACCCGACGCCCAATGAAACGGTTGAACGCTACAAATTCCTTCACCGGAAGCAGCTGGAATCCGAAACCATCGCAGATTACGTAGCTGCGCTCAAACAGCTTTCACTGCAATGAAACTTCGGTGTTTCCCTCAACGACCGACTTCGAGACAAGCTGATTGGCGGCATTAAAGGGGCGATGCAACAAATTTTGTACTTTGCGCAAATACCGCTTAAAACGGATGCCTGCCGTTAATGGCCTATGGAACACTCGTTCGTTTTTCACCCCACGCAATAGAAGTTCCAGAACAAAAAATTAAAGAAAAACGAGCACCGTTCACCCCCTGAACTCGCAGCCAGAACAAGCGGCCACGTGATCTGGAGCCGATTATATACCGCCAATGTTGATCATAGCCACCCGCTGGGGTCGGCAAAGCACAGGACACGCGCTGAGTTCCAGACATTGTTATGGCTCGGCTATTGTCGTCGTTGCAGCGATTGGACACGGGCCACTACCCGAATGCATGTCGAGGCATCGATTGTCACGAGCCCAGATCGAATGCGTACGTAGTCTTCGCGTCCACTGTGTGAGCAGCATTTGAATATCGTCACAGCTGGGATCGCAAAGCTCGATGACGCATTCCCGGGGATCGTTTTGTTGCCATTGTCCCCACAGCTTCGTCATCAAATTTAGCGAAGGGGAGACTGAAAGAAAAGCTCCGCTTTCATCCTTTGAATTCCGCCGTGACGAAGACGGTTCTTGGTCAATGGTGTTGCGTTCGAGTATTCTTGGGTTCCACTAGTGCCAGGAAGCTGGTTTAAAGGGCAACTCCGGTCCATGCTTTCGATTTTGGGATTATGGCTGTTTTTAGTGCAGTTAGCGCCCCTGAGTTGCAAGGTGTAATTTTTTTTTCGTTATTGTGCGTAGTTTTCAAGATATCGACGTCTCAAAGTTTTGTTTGGGGCGCGGCCGACAAAACCGAAACTAGCCGCTCGAGGTTCCGGCAACACTGGAAATCAGCCGCTATGTGGACGTGACGCCAAGATCGTTCTCGTTCAGCGAGTACGCAGTCCAAGCGGCAGCTACCTCTGTTGCGCTAGTCGTCTAAAGATAGAAGGTAAACTGATTTTGTTTTAATTCTGCATATGTGGTAGTTATCCAGCATATATAGCAAGAGTTGGTGCGTATACCCAAAAGCTAGCGACTGGAAAACCCGTCAACTCGTTCGGTGGCGTACTCGGCGGCCGCCGCCGCGCGTGCGCTATGCCCTGCCGTACTCGTTGCTTGTATACCCAAAAGCTAGCGACTGGAATACGAGTGAACTCGTTCGGTGCCGTACTCGGCAGCTGTCGGCGTGCGTGCGGTCTCCCGCACTCGTCGCTAGGCCTAAATTGTCATCGGGGCTCCGTGGATGGAGCGGCGTTGCTCTACGCCGCGCTGCCAGTGACGTACAGTGCTGGGGCTTTCGCGCGGCGGGTCAGTCCCAGACACGAAGCTTTGAGGCTCTCCGGCGCGTTCCGCAACAACCGAACAGACGTGTGTCAAGCTGCAGGCGTCTGTTTTTTCGTTATTTTTTTCCTCAGGCGCGTAAAAGCCGAATTTGTAAGCTACGACACTAATTCACCACATAAGTTCGTCCAGGTAGTGAATCTTTGTACAAATAAAAAAAAAACTTGCCGCACTAAAAAAAAAAAAAAAAAAAAAAAAAAAAGTTCTTTGGGCAGTCATTTTCTTCTCAAAGCTAGCAAAAGTTTTGTAGGTGATAAAGGAAAACAGAGAACGTTAGCAAGGTGAGAACACTTTCTTTCCCTTCCTCATTCCCACCCCCACCCACAACAATTTGTTGTTTTATTAGAATACATAGGATTTTAAGTTTTCCTTCGTAACGTTTGACTAAAGCAAGTGTTGTTTTTTTTTTGTGTTTTTTTTTTTTTGCATTTTTAAATATTATATTTACCTCCAGCCGAACTCGGGCAAATTAGAGAGTTGTAACTTACAAATCCGAACTTTCGCGATTTCTTTAAAGTCCCTTGTGGTATTCACAAGCGCAATGTTAATTAATACTGCTG